TTCACATGAAGATTCTTACAAAATATTTAATATTTTTATTTAACAAATAACATACTTATAATTATTTAAAAAAACATATTTATAATAAAATTACCAAATAGACAGATTAAGTTAACAATATTAGATTTTGAATTAAAATAATACATTTTTTGAAAGTTTATGGTACAAATTATATATTTTATTTCTTTAGCTACCAATTTATATATATTTTTTAAATTCAAGTACCAAAAGTATAATTAACTTTTTTTAAAATCATTAACTTGTGTAATTATTACAATATGAATGGTTATTTTTATACTATCAAATAAAATAATATATTTTAATAATATCAAATATAGTGATTTTTAATTTTTAAAAATTAATTATTGCTAACCAAATAAAGTAATTACAAATCTCGAGTAATAATATCACTTTTATCATTTTAGTATTACCATCTCCTCAATAATTAAATTATTATAATAATATTAAAAATAATACCAAATACTACCTTAAAAAAATTGGAGTCGTAATTGAGATCACAACTAAAACTCAACTTTAACATTGTGTTATTATTACGAGAGCATACCACATATAATCAATCACAATTCAATTTTATATAAGGTCTATCAAAATTATACATGGAACTCACACTTATAATTGATGAACACTTAAATAATTTTTTACTTTGACTGAATAATTATAGTATTATAATAAAAAATATATATAAGTATAACCTCTCTATTATTATGTAATATTATAGATTATTTTTAATTATTAGAAATCTAACACATTTAAAAATAATTACAACATTAATGTTTTTAATATTTTAATAATATTTTTTAAATAAAAGGACCTAAAAGAGTGCACCTTGGTGGTTTAACTCAATCCTGTCTTGATATTTAGAGATGCAATACTCTATGTATTAATTAAAAAATAATATTTACAAAAAGATTTTTGTAATTATTTGTATAAAATTTTTAAATTAATATATAAAAAAGAGTAGAAATCTACTCATCTTATATAAATATATAAAAGTTAATTTTTTTGGCAAAAAAAAATTAAGATGGATAGTCTATTATTTTAACATATGGACGATCTAGACAATCAATATGTTACTTGCATTTAATTAATTTTATTTGATTTCACATAATATTTGAATGCATTTATTGTATTTGAATTATTTTAAAAATTTAAATTAATTGCATTTATTTTCTATTATCATTTACTTTAAATCACTATCAATTAAATTTATATTAGAGGTAATAAAACTTTAATTGCCACCATTATAGGATAATTTTTTGTTCTCGTTTTCAATTATAATATTCAACTCTTAAATTACATTTGTGCAAAAAAATTCACTTTCTAATTTTAAACTCTATGACCTATTTATTTATTCCACTTTTTAAACTATATGTAAATATATTAATTTTAAAATGATTAATAGATTATCAAAATAATTAAAATTAATTTTAGAATATATCAAATAAAATAAATTTCATTACCATTATTACACTAATTTCAAAATCCTTATTTTTCCATTTCCCCTAAACAAGTTAAATGCATAATCTTATATCTTATATAGATATATAAAAACCAAAACTTTTGGCCAAAAAAGAAAAAAAATCCAAGGTGGATGGTCTATTATTTTGACATATGGATGATCTAAGCAATCGACATGTGTCTTGCATTTAATTAATTTCATTTAATTTCATATAAATTTTAAAATATTTCAATACATTGATTATATTTTAATTATTTTTAAAAAATCAAATTAATTACATTTATTTTTTATTATTATTTACTTTAAATCACTTTTCATTAAATTCATATTAAAGATAATAAAATTTTAATTGCCATCATTATAAAATAATTTTGTGTTCTCTTTTTTCAATTATAATATTCAACTCTTAAATTATATTTGTTAAAAAAAATTACTTTCCAATTTTGAAACCTATGACATATTTATTTACTCCACTTTCTAAGCTATGTATGCACGTTTAATATGTAAATATATTAATTTTAAAATAATTAATAGATGATCAAATCAATTAAAATTAATTTTGGAATATATCAAATAAAATGAATTTCATTACCATTATTACACTAATTTCAAAATTCTTTTTTTTTTTCATTTATCCCAAACAAGATAAATACATAATCTTATATAAATATATAAAACCAAAGTTTTTGGCAAAAAAAAAAATCCAAGGTGGATGGTTTATTATTTTGACATGTGGACGATCTAAACAATTGATGTATGTCTTGCATTTAATTAATTTTATTTGATTTCATATAATTTTTAAAATATTTCAATGCATTGATTATATTGAATTATTTTTAAAAAATTAAATTAATTACATTTATTTTCTATCATTATTTACCTTAAATCACTCTCAATTAACTCATATTAAAAGTAATAAAAATTTAATTGCCATCATTATATGATAATTTTATGTTCTCTTTTTTCAATTATAATATTCAACTCTTAAATTACATTTGTATAAAAAAAAGTGACTTTCCAATTTTGAAATCTATGACCTATTTATTCACTCCACTTTTTAAGTTATGTATACACGTTTAATATGTAAATATATTAATTTTAAAATAATTAATAGATGATGTAATCAATTAAAATTAATTTTGGAATATATCAAATAAAATGAATTTCATTACCATTATTACACTAATTTCAAAATCTTTATTTTTCCATTTCTCCCAAACAAGTTAAACACATAATATATTTAATTATTCTAATTTTCAAGTATAAATTACTCTTAATTTAAAATACTATTATTGATCTTGATTTGGTTCTTAAATTCATTATAGTCAATTAGACATTGAAAAGTTACAAATTAGCCCATAATTATTTCAAATCCCATCTTATAAATAAGGGTGTTTTGGGATGCTTAAGAAATAAATTGCATCTTTGCAATAGTTTTCCCATTGTTGTGATATTCTTTCGCCATGCAATAAACCTAACTTAGGTTCTCTTTTTTGTTTGTTTGTGATGTTATATATAATTGGATTAGATGCACAAAATTACTTTATGTTTGGTTTTGTATTATTTTGAATATTACTTTATTTTTTTCTTATGTGTTAAGATATTTTAGATTAATTTTTCATCATAATTATATAATAATTTACTTTTTGAAAAAAAATTCATTTTGAAAAGAAATTTTAAAATTAAGCAAAATTTATTGAAAATTTAATATTTTGAATTTCTTTTTAAGTTTTCACTATTGCTATTAGTTTTATTATAGTTTAAACTAAACATATATTGTATATATCTTTATACATTTTTTTTAGTTTTTATTATGATATCAATTTATATAACAAATTCCCATTATACTTTATTATGAAACAAAAGAGTAAGCTCAGTGCTAAATTAGAGAAAAGTTATCACTTATCACCTATTCTATCATATGTCTCAAGTATGTATTTAATTTTTTTTTTTTTTGTATGTAGTGAATTGATTTATTTTTTTCTTGGTTATATGATTTTTTTGTTTGTTTGTCATTCTAATATAATGTTTGTTGCTTTAATATTATCACTTTCATGATTTAACTTGAATTGGAGCTAATTATTATCCAAGTAAATGAAAATTGATAGGACTAGCTTTTTAGTTTCACTTTTTTTTATACATATAATATGTATTATAAGATTTATGGTAAATGATAATTATTTTCACAAATCAATTCAAAAAGGTAATTTCTTATTCAACGTTTTACTATGCTTATTTTTTTTACCAAAATTTTTTAGTGGTGTGAAATTTTTTTAAAACATTTAGAATAAGTTGAATTTCTTATAATTTAAAAAAACATATAGTATCATTTGGATTTAAAAAGAATTAAATCATAATATGAACTTTTATTACCTTTAATATATTGTAATATACAATCGACCAAAAAGAGTTAAGTGTGCATCATAAATTATTAATATTATATATATTGAGCTTGATAGGTTTAATTTTTTATGAAAATACTAACAATGTATTTTATCATTAAAAAATAAATTTTTATCAAAATTATAAATATTAAAATTTTTAAAATAAAACATGGTAATACTTTTTTGATAAATAATATTCTAAATTTTAATAGTAGTATATATAAAAAAAAATTATCTAATTTTATGGTTGATCACTTGTGTATACATGTGATAGTCTAATTTAGTATCACCTGTCTTTTTATTATCATATGTCTAAATTGATTTACTTGATAACGTTTGACTTTTAATAATATTATAAATTTTGACTTGAATTTAATAAAAGTTTCTAATTATTAGCAAAATTCAATTACAAATTCAAATAAAAACGAAATTTGCTACTTATATATTTAAATATTTATATGCATAATCATTTTTCAATTAAAATTTTAATTGATTCTATTTTTATTGCCTTTTTATTTTAAGGTACTTATAGATTAAATAAACATTATTATTAATTCAAATCTTTTTTGTGTAATTACTTTTAATCTATTGTTATTATTAGTCAATTATTAATATTTAAAATTTTTATTTTAATTTATTTAAAAATTACTATAAAATAAAATTATCACTCGTACATTGCACGGGCTTAATTTAGTATTAATGTAAGTCTTATACTTTTTTTATCAAATTAAAATTAAACCTATGATTTATACTAATTAAAGTTAACATCTACTTATAAAAAAGTGTAAGACTTATGTTAATGTAAGTAAACTTATACTAAAAAAATGTTTGATTAATGTACGAAAGAAAATCTTTCTAATCAGTATATTTATAATGTATAATTTTTATAATTATCTTAGTTCTTAAATTTGAAGAAAAAAGTGTATTAAATAAAAAATATATTACCTCATAAAAATAAAAATAATTCCCAGCGTATACTAATATTCTGTCACCTTTGGCCGTTAAGATTATGTAAATGATTTAGAATCCCTTGTTGAAAAAATTGGAATCCAAACGCTGCCACGTGCAAAAAATCTCCGTCTAATTTTTCTCACGGTTTAAAAAAACAGATAAATCCGTTGAAACTGAACCGACGCTGGCCAAATCCGCATCTGAACTTTCCTTCAATGCCACGAAATCAATTAAACGATCAAATCCAAAAAGAAAAAAAAAAAAAGGTAAATCTCACAGAATCAGGCGCTAACTTCAAAAAAGGTTTGAAAGAGTGTCCCGAGTCCCAATGTTCTATACCTTCGGTCTCACAGCGCCAACTCATTTCCCCTCCGCTCCACTTCACTGCATTCTCCAAAATGGCTTCTATATCACCTGCCACTTTACGCGCCTCCAGTTCTCTCCCTTTCCACCACCATATGCACGCCCTCGATTCCGCGCCAAAAACAGTTGATCAAAGAAGAAGAAGAAGAAGAAGTAGGACGAGTCTGACGGTTGTTAGAATCGTCGATGGAGGCGATTCGTACCTTGGTATGTGGAGGAAAGCAGTGGACAGGGAAAAGAAGGAAACCGAGTTTCAAAAGCTCGCCCAGAATTTGACTAAGATCGATGATGATCTAGGTGGCGGTAATGGTGAGAATAAAGAGGTTATGGAGAAGAAGAGCGAGGAGTTCCAGAAGATTCTGGAAACTCCGAAGGAAGAAAGGGATCGGATTCAGAGAATGCAAGTGATTGATCGTGCCGCGGCCACGATTGCGGCGGCTCGTTCCATTCTCAAGAAGAAAGATTCTTCTCTGGCTAAAGAGGATTCCAAAAACGAAAATGGCAAAACAATTAGAGTTAAAGAAGAGGGTAAGAACTAAAATCTTTTTATTTGTAATTTTAAGATATTACATATTTCTGTTGATTTTTTTTTAAATGATTAGAAATAAGATCTTTAGTAGTAAAAACAAGCTTATTCCCCTTATAAGTGCTAGTATTTGAAACAAGATCTTTGATAATTTTTTCTTTGGCACTTAACTACTGATAATTTTCTGAGGAATGATCATCAGAGTTCAGTTTGTAGTTAAATTATTACTGCTATTTCTTTTGTTAAATTGTACTAGGCAATGTTGTTATGGGAAAATGAATCTTAATTAAACAGGAAAGCAGAGTGGGAGCACTTTTGTTACTCTGTCCGGAAATTCTGGAAATGGAACACCTGGTCCAGATTTTTGGTCCTGGACACCTCCTCAAAGTACTGATCAGATTTTGGGTGATTGGGATGGATTGCAGACTGCTAGACAAACTTCAGAGGATCCAATTTTGGGCAATCCGGTTTTAGAGAAGGATCTTTCTGTTGGTTTTCTCTCTATTCCTTTTGAGAGCAAAGCTTATGAGACCACTCGAAATCTTCCACCATTTCAGTCACTGGCAGAGGTTGATAAAGCAAAAGTATCTGAGCTTGCTGTGGAAAAGACTTCTTTAAAAGAGGAACATGACCTTGAAGTTGAATTTTCTGCATATGCTGCAGAAGCAGCTGATGCCCTTCATAAGGCTGAAGAATTATCATCCCAAGGAGTCAAACCAGATGGAACGAGATGGTGGAGGGAAACAGGAATTGAGCAAAGACCTGATGGTGTGATTTGCAGGTGGACAATGATCAGGGGTGTTAGTGCGGACCAAGCTGTTGAGTGGCAAGAGAAGTACTGGGAGGCTTCTGATGAGTTCGATTACAAGGAACTAGGTTCTGAGAAATTAGGACGTGATGCTTTTGGGAATGTTTGGAGTGAAAACTGGAGAGAATCAATGTTGCAGGTAAGTAAAAACTGCCTGCATAACTGAAGCATGATAATACATACTCATGTCACTTTCATTTTATTGCATTTTACCTTCTAGGGTTCATATGGTTTTAGGTTGAGTTTCATAATTGCATCACTAAACCATCCATAACCATAAGTATAGAGTCCATCTGGGCTCCATGTAAGTATACATAGAACCATGTACAATGAATGGTTGGGATCAGATATTTCTAGAATTGTTGTAATATAACTGAATGTAAGATGAATCCTTCTAGGGTTTAGCTCATCTATCTATCCGTAACTAGATTACTGTACTTGGGTTTCATAATTTTCCATAGGTTGATTGTACTGCATGATCCAAATGTGGATTTAGATACAATGTCAAGCATAACTTAACAAAAATAGAAAAAGAGCTGTTATTATAAGGTTAAGAGATATTAAATTTTCTGTAAGCTAGTCATGTATCTGCTGATTTACTTTTAACGCATTCACAAGCACCCTTCTCTTTTCAAGCGCATTGCAGCTTGAACCTAAGAGCTCTATCCAAGCTTCCCCTGCCCTTGAGTCATCCAGGTGACAAACATCCTTCTTCTCCTAAATAAAACAAAGTCCAAAAAAGGAAAAGGGAACAAAGCTAAGGGAAAAGAAATTTTACTTTTCATTTCACACTTACGCTTGGTAATGGCTTTATTTTAGCATCATTCATTTCTATGCTGCTGTTTGCGAGAATCTCATATCTAGTTCACAGGCTATTGTTGACCATTTTTTGTGCCTTTAGACGTTTTCTCTAAATTATTGCATCATTAATAAGTTTTGAGTTTTTTTTTTTGTTTTGGTAAAGCTTCTAAGAGATATTGGAGTACGCTAAAATATTTTTTTATCAGAATCTTGTTTTGCAGCAACCTTGTCAAAAGAAAAAAAAAATCTGAATGTGTTCTCCTGTGCAGGATGGTGGGCTTGTACATCTTGAAAAAACTGCTGATAAGTGGGGAAAGAATGCAAAAGGTGAAGAGTGGGAAGAAAAATGGTGGGAACATTATGATGCATCTGGAAAATCTGAGAAATGGGCTGACAAGTGGTGCAGCATTGACCCAAACACACCCCTTGAAGCTGGTCATGCTCATGTTTGGCATGAAAGGTACTAAACTTCATATCTAGTTTGGATATAATTTTGCACTGTTTCTACTTTCCGTATTCCAGAATTTGTTAATGGTGACAATCTTAAACTGATCATAAATTTCTTACTAGAGCATTTTCTTGTGGATCCCTGTAGATATTTTACCCTGTCAAGCTCTCTATAAACTCTTGAAATGCTTAAATCCTTGTCTTGCAATACAAAGTTTGTTGGGGATTTTATCAAAGGGTTGGCAAGTGATGATTTTTAGGGTTATTTTTGGATCCTCTTTGTCAGGCTACTGAACTCAGTTATATAACAATGTTTTTGATCTAATCATTCTTGACTCAACTGAACTGATGAAAAAATTGCCACTTCATTTAAGATTTATCTATAGAGGATGGAGATGCTATTTTCGTCCAGTTTGATTTTATATGTTTGATCACATCTTTTTCCAACTTTGGCAGATGGGGTGAACAATATGATGGATATGGTGGCAGCGTGAAATACACGGACAAATGGGCAGAGCGGTGCGAAGGTGATGGTTGGGCGAAATGGGGTGATAAGTGGGATGAACATTTTGACCCCAATGGCCATGGTGTAAAACAGGGGGAAACATGGTGGCAAGGGAAACATGGAGATCGATGGAATCGCACTTGGGGTGAGCACCACAATGGCTCTGGATGGGTTCACAAATATGGGAAGAGTAGCAGTGGGGAGCACTGGGACACACATGTGGAGGAAGAGACTTGGTACGAGAGATTCCCACACTACGGTTTTTATCACTGTTTTGACAACTCCGTGCGGCTGCGGGAGGTTAAGAAGCCATCTGAGATATCTGAACAATAAACCTTTTGCTTGTTCATTCATTGATTTATTCCTTGTACATTTTCCACATGAAGGTACAATTTAGTAATAAGTAGTCATAGTTCCTCACGAAGAAACAAAGTGTTTAAAATAAAAATAACAGAATCCGTTCTCTCAGTCTTATTGCTGAAGTTTGTATATTTTTCACCGCAGCTTCCGTTTTGTTTCTGAACTTTGAAAATTGGTTTAATGAATGATTTTTAGACTTTGTCTCCTTAAGTTGTTCTCCTCAATCCACCAGGTACAAGGATTCATTAAATCCCTGATGTAGTTGAACTAACAGCGGATATAGGATTTTCTTTTCGAAGTGTCACTTATAATTTATAAACTGTTGATAGATTTATCATTTTTGTGAATGTCCACGGAAAATTGAAGTGCTCAAAGAAAGAGTCTTTCAGTTTTTCTATTTTTAATTTTTGGGATGTTCACGAACGCTCTTAGTTAAAAGGGTGGACCCGCCCCTGAGTTGAACTAAAGACAAGTTGAATGTTTAGTGCCAGAGCAGCGGTAGAGATTTGATATCCGAATCAATGAGAACGTATCTTCCTGCTTGCAAAATGACTGACTGTGAAGGAAACGCAAATAGGTGAAAATAATGACGGGGACCGCAAAAATAAATTGAACCTTGAAACGGTTCGTTTTTTGTTCAAAGGTCCAGAAGGACGAGGACAACAAAAAGGCCAAGCAGGCTGCTGTTTACGGTGGGGCCCCGATCCTCTATTCCTTGAGTAGTCAGCAATCAGTGTATCACAACCACCAAAACGTGTGGTTCCAATTCAATAACGAAATGGGAAGCTTTTAATGCATCTTTCTTTCTGGCATTTCATCTCTTAAAAGTCGTCGTCTCCAAGCTTCTCTTACATACATTTTTAAGCTTATATTTAGATGATATATTTGGTTTGAGTTACTTTTGTTGAATTATCGGTATCACGTGTACTGAGAGATAGAAGAGTATTACTTTTGGCTTTGGTGTTTTTCACAATTGTATCATTTCATGGCATCTTCAATGCTTAGTGAAGCTGAAAATCTGAAGCTCATTAGTGGAGCCACCCCAACGGGGTTAGGCTTTGTGGGGTCAAATTTTCATTTTAAGTGCTTTCCACAGAAGGGTTTACTTTCTTATAGCAAGAATCAAAAGACTAGAATCTTAGCACCCAGATGCAGTATATCATCCCCAAGGCCTGCTTCTCAGCCTAGGTTCATACAACACAAGAAAGAAGCATTTTGGTTTTATAGGTTTTTATCAATAGTGTATGATCATGTCATAAACCCTGGTCATTGGAATGAGGATATGCGCGATGAGGCGCTTGAGCCTGCTGATCTTTATGCTAGAAAAATGACAGTAGTAGATGTTGGGGGCGGAACTGGGTTTACCACTCTTGGTATAGTGAAGCATGTGGATGCTAAGAATGTCACGATTCTCGATCAGTCACCGCATCAGCTTGCCAAGGCCAAGCAGAAGGAACCTCTGAAGGAATGCAAGATAATTGAAGGTGATGCGGAGGATCTCCCATTTCCTACTGATTATGCTGACAGATATGTGTCTGCAGGAAGGTGATATCTCTCTATTTACCTTTCTTATATTACAAATTTTCCATCATTTTTTTCAGTAATGCAAAACGGTTTTTATGTCTATATGATTATATGTATTTTTTTTTTTTTTTTTTTATGTTTGTGTTCCCCAGTATTGAGTATTGGCCAGACCCACAGCGTGGGATCAAGGAAGCTTACAGAGTTCTGAAAATAGGAGGGAAAGCCTGTGTTATAGGTCCTGTATATCCAACATTCTGGTTATCTCGCTTTTTTGCTGATATGTGGATGCTGTTTCCAAAAGAGGAAGAGTATATAGAATGGCTCAAAAAGGCTGGTTTCAAAGATGTGAAACTGAAAAGGATTGGGCCAAAATGGTATCGTGGTGTCCGAAGACATGGCTTGATCATGGGTTGCTCTGTGACTGGAGTGAAGCCCTTGTCAGGAGACTCTCCACTGAAGGTAGCATACCTTTCATCGTTATATATCTAGAATATGAATTTCTTGTGGAGAAGTTAACATCATATAGTCATATAAATATGTCAAAGTCCAATATTCAACTCCTTGTGCTTGCTTTCAATTTCTTGAAATTAATCATATAGCATAATCCATCTATATTTCACACTTTATTTCAAATCGGTGCCAATGGATTTACTAACATTTATGCATTGATAGACATTTTCTTATGAATTCAGTATCATGGTTCTAAGTTTTTTCTTATCCCTGCTTCTTAATCCTTTTCCCAGTTTAATGATTCGTTCCCTTTTCTTGTCTCTATGTTTTCAGTGCCTTCCGTCACATTCTTTTTTACCACCTCTGCACATTGCATCTCCCTGCTTTCTGATTTAAGAGTTTTAGCTCTTTCCAAGAAGAAAATTGATAAACATTTTCTTGGGAATTCAATATCACGGTTCTAAGTTTGGATTAATGTTAGGAATCACCCCTAAACTTTAATGAAATATTCAATATGATACATTAACTTTAAAAATCTCTCTGTGGAATCTTAATTATAAATCTATTAAATAATATGATATTTACTCCTATTAGCTTCAAATAATGATGCATGAGAAACAAACAATTCTTCAAGTATCACATTTAATTAATAAATTTATAATTCAGATATCATATTAGAAAATTTTAAAATTAAGATATTACATTGAATATTTCATTATAGTTTAAGAGACATTCCTAACATTAACTCTTTTAAGTTTTTTTTTTTTTTTTCAATATCCCTGCTTCTTAAAATTTTTTTTTAAAATTTTTCAAGTTTGATGATTTATTCCCTTTTTCTGTCTCTATGTTTTCGGTACCTTCTGTCATTTTCTCTGCATGAATTGGTTACTTCAGTTACTTGGAGAAAATGAAAACAATAAAAACTAACGGTAAAAACGTTCTGAACGTTTTGTGAACTTTAATTTTGCTATGTTTTGTTCTATCTGTAGTACTAACGGGGTATAATTATAAATGTTGTTGCAGCTTGGTCCAAAGGCAGAGGATGTCGAGAAACCAGTTAATCCTTTTGTGTTCCTTTTGCGGTTCATTCTTGGGGCAATAGCGGCAACTTACTTTGCATTGGTTCCTATTTACATGTGGATCAAAGATCAAATTGTTCCAAAGGGCCAACCCATATGAAATGAGTGAACTGGAAAATAATGATCAAATTCTTTTGCTTTTATCTCTAGGTGACTGCTCTATTTGACTGGTTACTTGCTTTTGCCTCTTGTTCCAAGATTTTGTAACTAGCCGTGCGAGATATCCAAGTAGGATAATAAGTGCAAGCTTTACCCTTGTTATGTGGCCTTAGTAGAGTAGTATTTCGTGCACTGCACTAAGAGAAAATGATCTCCAGACTCAGCTTTTCACATGTAAAAATCGATATTTTTTGTCAAATGTGGGCAATGCTTCACGGAGATGCAGTTGCAATTCTCCTCCAAAACTGATTCTTCACAGAAAACCATAAACAGAGTCATCTAGTTAGAGAGTCAGCATGACAATTTTTCTTTTCAGCTTTTGGCAATTTGACAAGATCATGGATGATTAAAAGGGGACTGAAATAATATGAAGTCTACAATTAAAAGCAGCATTGTTGTCTCTGAGGAAGTCTTGTCACCCTTTAATCCTCCAGCAGAGGTTAGACAATGGCTCTGTTTCGGTATCTGAACCATCGTCCCCTGCTCTATGTTGGTGCTCAAGTTTCTCCTGTAACCTCTTGGTGGTTTGATCCCATGATACTCGCTGTAACTTGAAATGTGCCTGTAAAATTTAGACAGGTAACGTTCATGAAATTCTCCTTCACGAACCTTTCTACCAATTCCAGAGTGAAAAGCAAGCTTCCATTTTTGAGCATTTTTAATTTCCAATATAGTTTATTACCTGCCCAGTTGAGCACCATAATATTTAAAAAACTCGCATTTAATATTATTTATTTTAATTAAAAAATCTTACGATTTTATCTTATAAAAAATAATTCATAAATTTAAATTCAATTATCTACTTATATATCATAATAAATTTTTAAAATTTTTCAACATAAAACTAAAATATCACAAAATCTTCTCGTTAAGACTTAATATCTCTATTAAACCCAATATATATAAACACTTAATTTTATCTAAATTAATTTAAACTTATTTAATTTTTATACTTGATTTGAATCAATTTTTTTAAGTCAATCAGAGCATTTTAATTGAATTGACTAATGTAAACTTGCTTCGTATTAATTATTTTTTATAAGACAAAATTCAAATTCAATTTTGAGTTAAGGTCCTATTTAATCAGAATTAATTCAAATTTTAATCATTTGGGTTTGAGGGCCCAACAGAGGTCCAAACTTTAATTTTACGCCCAAACTAAGTTTTAAGGCCCAGTATTTATTTTTATTATTATTGTTTTTATTTTGTCAATTAAATTAATTAAAAATTATAAAATTCAAAAAAATTCTAGAAAACACAAAAGGCCGAAACATTGGTCCGGCCGGCGGTGCCAGGAACCCGTCCCACTCCACTACTCCACTACCTGCAGCCACAACCAGACAAAAGGGTCTGCAAATTTTTCAAAAAAAAAAAAAAAACACAAGGATGCTAATAAGAATAGGGGCATTCTGCTCAATAAGGGGGAGAAAGGTAAAGCAAAAATTTTCACAGAAAAAAAAATCCAGCCCCTTCACAACTGGTTCACTCTCCACAGCCAAAATCACCACAGCAACCCACCATAAAGGCAACACCAACGTAAACTCCCCTGGCATAATCCCAAAATTACCACCCAAACATGACAAAAACCTTGTGTTTTTTTTTTTAAATCAAAACCCACCGTCAAGCAACAATAACTACAAAACCGGTAGTTAAAAAATCACCATAGCCCTGCCTATACTACCACTGTTCCACTAAAAAAAAAAGAAAAACCACATCCCTAAGAAGGGAGAAGCAGCGCCGAAAACAAGGAAAGGCTAGAAAAAAACCAAAAAAAAAAAAAACAAGAACAGAGGGCTTTGGATTTTTTTTTATAGAAGGATTTGCCTTGGGTTGGTGAAGTAGAAAGGAGGGAAAGGATTTTAGAGAGGGTCAAGCGCAGCAGCGCGACGGCATAAGGTGACCAACTGTGGCGTGGGACATTTGGCTGATCAGCAACGGTGAAGAGGAATGAGAAGGGGAGGGTAACAACATACCAAAAAGGGTAGGAGAATCGAACAGTGGGAAGAGAAGATTTAAGGATGTTTGTACCGAAACTTTAAAAGTAGATCTAGGCTATTTTGAGGAGATTTGTGAAAAATAGAGCCTGGATTTAGAAAAGGACGAGGAGAGGAAGCTTTTAGTGAAATGTGGGAGAAAGCCGATGCCGGTTAGTAGCGGCTGGCGACGGAGTGGACGGCAGCACGGAAGCAACGCCTCTGGGAATTGGGTTGGGGAAAGGGATTTTATCTTGAGAAGATGAAGCCCTTTTTTTAAGAAATGAATGATGAAATGATTTAAAAAATAAAAGGGTGCATTTCAAAGTAGTTCAAAGTAAAAAACGAAACGGGTCAACCCGACCCAATTTCTTGAACCAGACCCGACCCAACCCGACTTTTGCCAATCCCACTTTTGAACAAGTCCCACACTTGTTTTCAGCCCAGCAACTTGAATTTATTGGGCTTAGTGGATTCTAGGTTTTAGGTTCAACATTGAAGGTTTGTTGGGTACAATTTATTTATTTTAATTATTTTATCATGCATTCATTTATTTATATATTTTTGTATTTATAAAATTATGTTTTGAGAACTTAAACATTATTAGTGCCTATGTTAATATTATATTTTTTATATATAATTTTTGTTAATAGAATATTTGTTATTATTGCTTGGAAAATATAAATATAAGATAATATTTTTAAAAAACTGATGATTTTGAAAACTTTTTCTAGATGTTAGAAAAATATTAAATCATGTTTTGAAAAAATAATTTTTTTGAATTTCGTATAAATGTTAAAGATTTTAAAAAAATTCTTCTTCACAAAATAAATAATAAAATAAAAAGTTTTTTATCCTTAGTTTTCATTTAAAAAGAGATAATGACAAAAAAAAAAAAGATTCAATATACATAAGATGGATTAAATTATTAGTTTCATTTTTTTCTGTTCTCATTTGCATAATTTATTTTATCTCATAATGCATTAAAACATTTTTAAGGAAAAAGAAAAATTAAAAACCGAATATGTTTCAAAAGTTCGTCTAAATGTTGAGAATGATTGAAGATATTCGATTATCAATAATTCTCATTTTTTTCTCAAAACCCTAAAACCTTAAAATCTTGAAACCTTGAAACTCAAAAATCCTAAAATCCTAAATCCCTAAAATCCTAAAACCTTGAATCTTAAAACCCTGAAATTATAAACCTTTAAATCTTGAAACCTTAAACCTTGAAGTCTTAAAACCTAAAAAAAGACCTTAAATCATAAAACCTATCAAAACCCTAAATTTAATACGAACTTAAATCCAACTTACGAACCAAATTATCACCAAACAATCATTCAAACCCTAAAAGTCTTACCTATGCCCACACCCCAAAACCATCCTAAAAATTCTAAGAATTCATATGAAAATCTCATATAAAATAATATGTTCCCAAATACCTTATAGAGGATGGAATATTTAGAAAATTTTATTTCTTCAAGCTTTTTATACAATTCCTTAATCTAAAAATAATAAGATTAAACAAACAAATAGAAAACAAAAATAAGATTTTAAATATAAAAAGTCACACCTAAACTCTACCTAGAGGTTCAAGAGTTCGAGTGATCTCTTTATATTTAAGAACCCAATCCCAAAATTGCATTTCATTAACTTGTATTACATTCATTTCGAATGTTTGTGCCTTTCAATTATTACTTGCTAGCTAATTATAGCATCATTGATTTTTTCTACATAAAATTTGTTATGAAAAATCTTGTTCAAAAGTACAAATTTTGAAATAAAATAAAATAGCATTCCAAGGAAAATAATTTTTGATATTCTGCCTAGATATTAGAGAGTCACCAACAATTATCATCTACAAAAAATGTTATTTTTATTTTAAAAGGAATGTCATGGTGAATATTGGGTAGAAAGAGTTATTTTTGAATTATGTTTAAATGTTGGAGAATTTTGAGATATTTTTTAATATAAAGATTTTCTCAATATTTCTAAACAAAAACTTTTAATAAAATTAATTTTTTTAAAAAAATGAAGGGAATTATCATTAAATTTCAAATTAAAACCATTTTTATCCAAAACTAAATATAGTAAATGATTAATTGGTATCAATTTTTATGGGCGTTGTAGGGGTACTAATCTTTTACCATGCATAACCAACTTTTAAACTCAGTCTTGTTTTCGTAAACTAAAATTATCTTTTGATAAGCTTTAAACTTTTTTTATTATTTTATTAAAAATATAAATCGTTTAGGTGGCTAATCACACCTAACAAAAAAGAATGATGGTGATTTTCTATTTTTCTAGATCTCTTAAATTTTTTATCTAGCAGTTCCAAAAACAGTTGTGAGAACACAAAGCACAGATAGAACCAAAATCACACCAAGCGTTAAGATTCTAGAGGTAGTTCCTATTATGTAGCACTTAACTTTCGTCTAACTGATAATTGCTCTGATACTATTTGTAGAAACCTGCATCCAACCTGTAAATTATTATCTATTTTAACCTGAAAGTCTCATGATTTTATCCCAAAAAAAGTACCTCACAAGTTTGGGTTTAAGTATCTATTTATATATCATAATAGATCCTTAGAATCTCCCGATGTGATATTAGAATGTCACAGATGTTGACCACTAAGGTATTGTTTGAGTAAGAGTAGTACTCACCCCTTATTCGTAGACCCGTGAAATATAAATAGAGAAACGATTTTGTAAATGTCTACGACTACGAGCAGATGGATTCAACATTGAATCAGCAACACCTTTTCTTGTTGGATTTCGATGCCTTAATCGTGTTCATCAAGTATCACTCAAGTCAAAACATAAAATCCATGACAAACGTTTGTAATTAATCTATTGTCATCATCATCACCATCACATATATATTTTATACACACACACCTGTCAAGTGAAAGAAACTTCCTGGACCTCTTCTTTTCCCCTATTTTTTTTTTTTTAAAAAAAAAAACTCACAATTCAACTCATTCTAATACCAAGAATTATTAAAACTATTATTTCAGAAGAAAAAGATTTCTTGGTCTACTTTTTTCTATGTAAATTGATAGGAAAACATCTATTTATGAAACTTATGATACATTTATGTGCCTAAATATTACTAGGTATACCTTCCATTGTCTCCTGATAGGTAAGAAAGTCACTTTTAGGCAAGGTGCCACATGTTGTAATTATCACAAGATGTCTAGGAGTTCCTAATCTATATGTTTTCCTATTTTTCAGTCTCCTTAAAGTAGTTATTCCATGAATAACCTTTTTAAACAACACATTTTTCTTGCTAACATTGAAACATGTTAGTACCGAATATTCCATGGGATTTGAAATTAAAAATGAAAAATAGGAGTAGCAGATTAAATGAAAATAAAAAGGAAACAAGACAAGAAACCTGATTTACTGAAACATAATATAGACCAAGAGCAATAAAATAATAGAGACAATTGCTACCTTACCCATCTAGATAAGGTAATTTCATGAAGGTAATATGGAATTGGGATCCATTTAAGTTTCTTGTTCCACCATTAACCATTTATAGAAAAAATGGCTAGCTATGACGTTGCAAAAAGTTCTCATCTGTAAATGTAAATGGTAGAAATTTTTAGCAATGCTATACAAATCAAA